CGGAGGTCTTCCGCCCAGCCATGTCAGGGACCACTGAACGCGGAATTAAAGAGAGGACACACACCTCGCAGACTGACACTCTTTTACGTCAATTGCCCTTGTTCATTGACGGAGCTTGTAGGATGAGATGATGTATCGTATCAATGCGTACCACCACTGATTCTGACTTCTGACTAGAACCGCCACGATGCCTCTCAGTCAGAATCAAATTCGGATGACGACGACGACGACGAAGAAGACGACTCCTCGCTCTCGATTGGCTTGAACACCCAGTCGCCATCATCTTCCCTCAATAAGCATACATTGACATTACCGACAGCTACATCCAGTCCGTTGGGCACATCCATACCATCGCCGACCTTTGCGAGAATCGAGGCATCAATCCGACAGAAGAGCATCGGCAACGAGTCGCTTTTCCACACCGATATGCCGTCGCGAGCGCCTCTGATGATGGTATGCAAGAGGTAGTAGATGCTGATAATGATTAGGCCTGTTGGGAACAGCATCCACAGCCAGTCTACCATAATGACCTGCACCATCTCATACGCTCGTCCGGTATATCGATGTCGGTCCTTGTCCCGAATCTCGCCGTGGAGCCGCACCTCATTCGTCAGACTGATGCTAAATCGGCCAATCCATTCCGGTAGTTTTTCTCTCGCGTTGTAGATCCCTTCGGCCCAATCTGACGAAAAGTTGATGATCGTGTATTGTTTCTCGTACGTGGTTTCGACAAGCGGGTCGATGAACCTCCGCAATGCAGCCAGCGCTTTTTTGGATATACTGTACCTGGACTCTGGCGCAACGTTCATGTCTTTTGCTGGGATATCGACGAAGACGTACTCGTCGCCGTGCGCGCTGTTGCCCAATTCAAACCGCGTTGTGTTCCAGCTCATGGTAAGCTTTTGCTTAAGCTGGCTTTCGGTGATCGTAAAGTTAAAGCTCTTCATGCAGAACCACAAGGCGCATTCTTGAGCAATACTTTTCGTCTCCCGCTTGCTTTGCATGACCCACAGGACGTCGAAGACGGATATGTATGTTTGCGTCGTCGAGTTCATTCGGTGCATGATGCCCTCCGAGGCTGTTGTCTTGAATCGCTCCGTGGTCGGTGCATTTCGGCTGATTTCCACTGATGTGCCTCTGGGCAAGCTGTACCGGCACGTTTGCGATTTGTCCATACATATAGTCCTTATGTCTAGGGGGTTGCACTCGCCGCAAACTGCCAGCGTTGGCACGATGGGCCACGTGCAGTTCACACCGGAGCATTCGAGATCCAGGTTCTTGACATCCACAGATAGGATACCGCTGTATACGGCTGCTTTGGTGGACACATTGAGAGCCGGTACTGCTACGTGTTAGTAAGTGATACATATGACAAGTGACGCATCATCACTCACGCGGGTCAAGGCCCCGAGAGACAGTGTAGTCCTATAAATCGCTTCTCTCTGGCGCTGCGACTTCGGGTTTATCAAGGCTTTGTCGTGGCTGGCCCTCGTACCGGTAGAGCTGCTGGGAGGATGCCTCGAGTCCGTGGACAAGAATGACAATCAAGGCGCCAATACAAGCAAGATGTCTGGCACGCCATCAGTTAGCACAATATCCCGGGCAAAAGAGAACAGGGGCTCCACGGCGCTACCTTCCTCTCAGTCGCCACAAGAGATACAAGCTGCCCCAAAGCCCGCGGGAAGCCTCGTCGTATATCTTGAAGTCTTCCAACCTGGCTCGACTGTCATTGGTGCGACGTTGCCGGGCCTCAGATACCCAGATCCAGGCAGATTGGCTAATGGAGGTCTCGACAATTCCGCTCATGGCTACGCGGACGCAAGTGAACATGGCTACAATGATGACATCGAAGTCGAGGTCGCCATTCATCAGTTGGGGGATTGGCTGCCGGTCGTAGTGCTTGAAGATGATGCCGAGGACGATGGCCCCGACGGCGCAGACCGCAGCCAGGCGGTATTCGTCATTCCACCATTTGTACATGGACTTGTAGTCACTCTTGGGGAGGGGCCGCGGGGGTCCTTCTTCCGTGTCATCGTCATCGTCAACCGCGCCGTCGTGTTCAATCTGCTGACATTTGACTCGCTTTCTGAGGGCCTTACATGAGCGTGAGCTCGTGGCCGAGGATCGAGATGAGGGTATGTCGTTCGACATGAGGGATAGAAATGTGTTTCGATGCTAAAGATACTCAATGGCAGGCTTATGAAGAGGGTCTGGATTGATTATGGCCTGGCAACAGAAGAAGGAAAGGATGCGACGAGAGTGACTGATGCCCGATGCCAATGTTGATGATTGAGGGCACGGCAATAAAGATGGATGATGTTAGAGGGAGGTTCGAGTTGCAGCAGCTTGCAGTTGCGCCGGGCACCTCAGGCTCCCGTCCATGGCCTCTGCGCAAGACGAGGTACCTGAGCGGCGTGATGTTTCTGAGAAGGAGCATTCCAGTTTATCACCGGTGTCGTGCCTTCCCTTCAAATTCGACTTCATAAAGGGAAGGATGGTTCTCAGTGTTCAAGCCACACCTCCACTTACACGAACATGTGGCTGATGTTGAGGGAGCTTCAGTGAGGGGTCGCGATAAGGCACAGGGGAACGAGGCCAATAAGACTATGACGTCGACCTGCCTTTTGAAGAGAGGCACGAAAACACTTTCCTTGTTCCTCTGAGGAAACATGAAATAATTCTTTCATGCTGCCGTCTCGTCAATTGCAAAGCCAATAAAGCGATTGTATTTTCATGACAACGATGTATACTTCATCGTTTTTTCCTATTTCCCTCCTGTTCCTCCATCTGCATGGCGGGGCTACTTGGAAAGTCCCCCACCAAGCATTTGACAACAACCAGTTACCTCATGGTCATCAAGTGCCATTAAGCGCAGAGAATGACGATGATCTGAACATCTATGGCGCTACATCGTTTGCCGGGCTGAGAACTTTTGCCAACTTGCCCTTCGTAGATTGCTTCTCTGACGAGAATGCGGAGGGTCATAAGTATGACATTGCGGTCTTTGGTGCGTCACACGACACGGTAACTACAGCTCGCTTCTATATACTTTGTAAAGCCATCATTTGACCCCCAGAGTAGACTACCACTGGCCGGCCGGGAGCTCGCTTTGGTCCACCTGCCATTCGAAGCGGCAGTCAAAGAAAGTCGCCGGGAGAATGGAGCGTGTACACGGGTAACTCTTCTGCATGGACCTCGTATTGATAGATGTCTTCATCTGACGAGAAATGTACACCAGGAAGAAACCCTCTGCAAGACTGGGCGACAATTGTAGACTGCGGCGATGCCCGCCTGACTTGGCTGGACAACACGGCTTCTCTTAAGCTTCTAGACAAAGCCCACACCGTTGAGTGATGTTCTGCTGAGCTATCTCTTAGACCATGAGCTGATGAAGGAGCGAAAGGTCATTTCTGGCAGACCAGCAGCGAACTCGTCGGTATCAATCACGCCTAGAATACTCACGCTTGGAGGAGACCACACGACGACCCTGTCTGCTTTGCGGTCGACCTACCAGAGATGGGGTCCCGTCTCCGTCATTCACTTTGACAGTCACATCGGTCAGTACTTTCCGTCAGGAGATCTTCGTACCTAGCTTATCATCCAGGAAGACACTTGGGATCCATTGGTCTTGGGTAAGTCATCCACTAAAGATTGCCGATGCTCCCCAAGTTAATACGGATCGCCTTTTCGCGCTTCAGGTGGTGGAATCTCCGACTACGCGTAAGTGAAGGCAACAATACACTCACGCTAACTGCCACATTTTGACCGATAATAGAGGCCTCAACCATGGAACATTCCTTCATATTGCCCACGAAGAGGTCTGTCTGGCCAAACCCGTCGGTATTCCCCTCACGAGAAGCTAAATGGCCCAGAATCTGATCTTGAATACCTCGATCCACGCGGGTATCAGAGCCCCGTTGATCCGAAGAAAGGGTGACCTGCGCAATGACGTCCGATGTGGTTTCGAGATTGTCACCGCACGCGACTTAGATAAGCTTGGAGCCAAAGGTGTCATCTCGAAGCTTAAGGAGCGAGTCGGCGACTCTCGAGTATACATCAGCGTTGATATTGACGTGCTTGATCCGGCTTTTGCGCCTGGTGAGTAGTTTAGAAAAGGCTGCAGGAAGGGAGCTGACTTTCATAGCAACTGGCACTGCCGAGCCTGGTGGCTGGTCTACGAGGGAGCTTCTTACCATACTCGATGGCCTCGAGGGACTCTCCATTGTGGGTGCTGACGTAGTTGAGGTCGCGCCCGCGTACGATAATAACGGGGAAACCACTGTTCTCGCCGCGGCCGAGATTGCTTATTCATTGATCGATCTTATGGTTCTCAAGCCTGTCCAGTAAATGTTCAATGCTGGTAGAACCATCTTTGGTGAAATGAGACGAGGCATTGGGTTTGGTTGAAAAATTCTGATCTAAGTCTGGAAGCCCGTCAGGGAAGGCACGATGGGGAGGAAACTAAAAGGGGAAGTCGCGTTGTCTGCGAGTCAAAGTGATCGATCAAATTCAGTTCTCTCACTGTGTAAGAGATATTACTATAACTATGCTACGTGCATTGTGAGAAAGACTCGATGACTTGAGAACAATCAGACAATGATGGGAGACAATGCCTTTGATGAAATCCAACAACTTGTGTTGAATCTTTACCGCCGGTGAAATAAAAATAGGCCTTTGTGTCCTTTGACTGTGGTGAAGAAACAACTCGGGGACCCTTTGAAGAATATGTTTGGAAACCCTGAACAAGTGGACGCCTGGTCAGGCCGGGTGGTGAGGCGCCTTCTTCAAATACCCGTCTGGTCGAGTCCCGTCTCCTGTCTGTTGGCTCGTAACTTTCTCGCTCACCACACACACACACTCACCCGCGCAAACCCACACACACATACATACACACACTTACACAGCAATCACCCCAAACTCAGATTCCACATCGTCCTTTTCTCTACTTCACATCTCCTCCAAATCATCTCACTCAAACTCAAACTCATCCTTCCCACATTATGGCGAGTTCATCATATATCGCGCCTGAAGCCAACATGGCGCCGAGCTCCTCCTCGGAAACTGGTTTTTCAGGAGGAAGGAACGCCCTCGCTGGCCCAACTGGAGAGAATTTCAGCCAGTATCAGATTCAAATCTCCCGAAGCCCAAGCACGGAGTATGATCCGACCGGAGATGGGATCGTGGAATATTCACCTTCAGAGGACGAAGAGGAGGAAGACGACATCGAATCCTCATTCTTGTACCAAGAAAGAAGGGTTGCTGCTAGCCCATCTCCAGCAGAAAGCACACCCCCGACCGAGTACGCCGCTTCATCCAAATCCACGACTCCAGCCAAGAAGACTACCCTCAAGAAGACTCCCATAAAGGAGACTTCCATCAAGAGTACTCCGCCCAGCTCGCCTCCTACCAAGGTGAAGCTCGAACTCAAGGGAACGCCCCCGGCCCAAGCCCAACAATCCAAGAAGCGATATCTCACGGCCTCACCCCATAGGTCCCTCAAGAGTACATCGTCAAAGCCAATCCTGGTAGACTTCCACCCTCGCAACTCCAGCCTCGAGCAGATCCAGGCCCTCAGAGCGCGCCTCGACATGGGCGAGGAACTCGTCTACAAGACCCAGGTAAACCTCCTCCAGTGGCAAAACAACATCGAAGCCCAAGTCAAGGACCTAAAGGAAGAAGTCCGCGAAACTAACATCGAGACGAAGAAGCGCCAGGACAAGCTCCAAGACCAGCAGGACCAGCTCGAGGAAAAACAAGAGGTGACCGATTCCCGCAGCGCCAGAAACGAGCGCCGCCTCGCAGAGGTCGAGATCACCATCGAGGACGTCATCGGGAAGCCTCCCAACCTGCCCGGCCTCTTCCCGCCTGGACACTCGTCGTACTTTAGTGGACCGACGAGTCCCAGCCGTCTCCCCGGGGCCTGGGGCCCCCGAAGCAGCCGCAGCTCGCGCACGTCGCGTACGGGCTCGGCGGCTCCTCTTCCCAGCATCGAGATAAGCGATGCGGTGAAGAGTATCAAGCCAACCTTGGGTGGTCGCTCCAGCTACTCAGTGGATACTGCCTCTCCCCCGGATATGTCCCCTTCAATTGGTTCCAAGAGAAAGTCTGAGGACTTGGAGTCTGACGAGAAGGACGCCGAGGTCAGGGGAGCGAAGAAGCAGAAGAAGACGACTAGCAAGGCCAAAAAGCAGCCGGCGAAGAAGAATACCGCCAACACAACCAAGGCCGCACCCAAGAAGACTACCACCCCGCCGCAGTCACAGAAGCGCAAGGCGGAGGAGGATCTCGAAGCGTGCGGCAAAGACACCAGAAAGAAGGACTCAAGCGATGAGGACACCCAATCTCCTGACAATAGGCCAGCCGAGATGACTCCAAACGCTCCGCTTTACGGCGGCTGCGAGCCCATGAGCCCTTCCCCCCTTCCCAAGGAGACAGATACTGCGCCCAAGGGCCATAAGCGCAAAGCAGAAGAGGAGGTCGAAGATGACGGCAAAGATGAGGGGAAGAAGAACCGAGACAATGAATCTGGCAAGAGGCCCATCAAGAAGGTCAAGACGGTCAAGAAGTCCGGAACCGAGCCCAAACAGGCTGTTACCACATCCAAGAAGACAGATACAGTGCCCAAGGGTCAGAAGCGCAAGGCAGAAGAGGAAGTCGAAGAGGGCGGCAAAGATGAAGGAGAGAAGAATCAAGACGACTCGTCTGACAAGAGGCCCAACAAGAAGGTCAAGACGGCCAAGAAGCCCGACACCAAGCCCCAACAGACTGCCTCCACATCCAAGAAGACGACTACCAAGCCCAAGGGCTCGAGGAGCAAAGTAGAGAAGCCCCCCAAAGAGAACGACGGGAAGACGGCGAGGAAGGATGCCAAGGAGGATATCAAGGAGGTAGAGGAGAAGCCTGTCAAAGCTCCGAAGAAGAGAACTGCCAAACCAGTCAAGCCGGCAGTGCCGGGAACCAGAACTGGCCTTCGCAGTCAGAAGAAGGAGGGTGCTCCCGCTTAGGGCGCCCGGTCCGGGGTTCTAGAGTATACTATATCAGTTCGCGCCATTCTTCTTGTTGCAGAGATCCACAGAACATATTCAGTCAGCCGGCGTGGGTTAAGGACATTGGGATATCAGGAAGGCCGCCATAATTCTCATTGGTATTTGAGAGTGTTGGCCTCATGGATATCGGGACTTCAGGTTAGAAGGAAGGAGGCATCATAAATTTCAAATTTCGAGACAAAATACACGAGTTGTCAAACATTGGTGACTAGCAACCTTGTGATGATGATAAACCCAAGTCGCTTCCATATGACCATTCTAATCTACATCAGCTTGCCCTTCATGCCCAGAGAAGCCAAGTATATCCCCAAAATATCTCAGCAAAACGCTCCAAACCCCTCCATCCGCACCAGACCCCAAGAAACCCCCAGTGTCTTCGCATCTATCACTCAACAATCCCCAAAGGCCCTTAACATGAGCCGTCCCTCTCACATACGCCATGGCAAACACGGCCCGGGAATGCCCTCTCCCTTCCACGAAAGGCAATCCCCATAGCCCCTTTCTCCCCACCTCCCTCGATTCCGTCCTCGAAATCCCCATCCCCATCGCAAACAAATCGGAAAGAATCCTCGGCACAGGCGGATCAACCAACGGAACCACCCTCGCTCTTCTCTTGGCTCCATACCCAACGACACCCCTCCAGTCCCCCCTCCCCCTTCTCCGCGCACCGCTCTTCCCCATCCCCGTCCCCACCGCCTTCGCCTGCCTCCTGGACGCGATGAACCTCTGCTCCTCCCACCGCGCCCCCTCAACAACACAATAGCTCCCGCTCTCCACCTCACCCTCGTCCCACCCCTCCACCGTCTCCTCGCCCCATCCAGACCTCATCATCGACGACGTCACCGCAGCCACCGACGACCTCCCCTCCTGATCCCATCGCCCGACGGTCCTCGGACGTCTAGGATAAGGCGGCCTCGGCCTCCTCCGCCTCCTGACGTCCAGCCACCCGTCCCCGGCGTCCTTCTCCCCGCTGCCGGGTCCGTCTCTGCGGGAACGTTCGTGAGCGGTGGTGTACGTCGTCGCGCACGTCGAGGAAGTATACGTCGACATCCACGACGGGGAGTTGGTATACACCGCTGCGAAACTCGGGCCTCCGGGGGGAACGGTAAGTGTGCTTTTCTGTGTTGTTGCGGTGTCTGCTGGGGCGTCGTCTGGTGGTTGTTGGAGGATGACTTCTGGGATTGCGTCTTGCGCCATCCTAAGAAAGTTTGGTGGTGGTGTTGGTGAGGGATGAAGGGGATGTGATGGATTGAAAGAGGAAGAGGAGGAGGAGGAAGGTGACGAAGATGGAGACGAGGAGCGATCTGGAAAGCATGCGATTTCGAGAGACGATTTCCTCGTTCGCCGAGGACGAGTGTGAGGACCTGGCTGGTGTTGAAGCTGAAGCTGTCGCTGTCGCTCGCGGCATCGTTTACATGATGAGCGTTTCTTGCGTCTGCATTTCTCGCAGGGAACCTTGGTGTCCGGCGAGCAAGCGTTGACATCCTCGTCTGCTTCCTCTTCCTCTACGCTCTCCGCGTCCTCGGCGTCTTCTGCGTCGGGGAAGATATCCCAATAGACTGAATCCATCTTCCCTCCCCCTGGTGATTCCGTGAAATCGGGATGAAATTGCTTGTTTTTGCTGAAGCTCTCTCAATTGAATTGATCAAAGACCAGTATCATCCCACAGCAGACGTTGAAGTAAAAGAAACCATGTGATGTCTGGAATTCTCTCCACCCCCTCCGTCACCGTACGATGTTACGATGTTACGATATCATCCCAAAGCAGTGAGACACGCATGCATACGGTACATAAACGTTGGGGTAACAAGGCCGCATCGGAACGCGGCCGGCCGCGTCTGACACACATACAACGTAGTCCGATTCCGGCCATCACCCCTCTCCCCAAAACTCCCCGAAACTCCCGTGTGTCTGTCTCTATCTCTCTCCTGAATTAGCGGGGGAATTTTTCTTAGTAAGAAGCGTGCGTCGCGCGTGTAGGCGAGGTTCTAACTGTTTAGTAGCTGAGCCGTCGAAATTGCGCGCACTAAGATAAGGAACGAGTAGTTGGAATATGGGCGGCCTTTTTCTCCGTGTGAATACGAGACATGTGATTGAGGTAGATAGATTGCTGCTCGTATTTGGTGTACATTTGTCATAGGTGAGCTGCGATGGTGAAGGTATCGCGATCTATCCAGCCCAGGTGTGCAGTACGAAGCACTGCCGTGTAATACATCACCAAGACAATAGATGATCAACCTCATAGCATTGACTATTACGTATATCCACGTCTCCGCATTTCACCGGAGGAAAAATAACAAGAAAACCCCCTCCTTTGGAGAATCAAAAAGAAAAGGAAGGAAATATGAGGGGATAACATACTAAAGAACTCACGCCCCTGCCCGGACTTGAATAGCGCGCCCCTCAGTCAACCCGGACTCCGACTTCATGGGAGTATTTTCTTTTGTTTATCTTAACCAATTCGACCACCTCGCACGCAGCCCGACCTAAACTCGCCGACCTAGCCGAGCGCTGCTGTGCTGGCGTGAGGAATGGGTTTGAGGGGGGTACATAGCCACGGGTGCCCAAGGGCAGAAGGAGGAAAGCGATGTCGAGGTGGGATAGAGCTACCTTGATTCGAAAAAGAAACAACCAAAAGCTGCTGGGATCGGTGAGCGTTGGCATGAACGGTGTACGTTCCAATACCAAACGAAACATATCAAGGTTATCAGGATTGGCTTTGTGAGTGATGAGACAAGTAACGGGCGATATCATTTTGATCCCTTCCCAACGCCGAGCAATGCCTACGATACAATACAAAGACCCTTCTCTCATCTAGACACAGACTGATGATGTCTTCTCCTGAAGAATACGCACCTCCCTTAATCCCAATACCGAATATCCCCCTCCGCCCCCGCCGAAACAAACTTGCTCGTCTCCTGCGGATGCCACGCGACACACGTGACAGCCTGATCTCCCGCCTTGAGCTTATGATACATCTTACACGTCTTCCAGTCCCAGAAGCACACGAACCCCTGCGTATCGCCGCTCGCCAAGAACTGCCCGTCGGGGCTGACGCTGACGTCGATGGCCGTGCCGGCGTTGTTGTGGCCCCGGTACGACTTTTTGCGGTTCTGCCGGAACTTGTCGTTGGCGCCATACACAACAATCTGGTTGTCCGACGACTGGAAGGCGACGTATTTCCCGCTCGGGTGCGGCGCTGCGCGCGTCATTGGGTACATGTAGGGCTCGGCGATGTACTTGATCGGGACTGGGATGTTGTAGTCCCAGGCGCGGAGGGACTTGTCGTCTGATGTCGTCATGAAGCGGCGGCCTTCGTCGACGAATGTGATTGTGTTGATGGCGGCGAGATGGTGGTCTTGCAAGTGTTAGTACATCATGTTTACTCTCCGATGAAAAGGGGGAAGACCAAGGGGACTCACCATATTCTTGCACAATCTCGTTGCCGGCGCGCGTATCCCACTGCACAATCTTCTTGTCCGACATACCCGCCACAAACTCGTGAGCGTGCTCCGCCGACGGGTTAAACCGCACCACATGCGGCGTCTTGCCCGTCGAGAACCGGCTCAGACACGTGCCCGTCTCCGTGTCCCACAGCTTAATCTGCCGATCAAAGCTCGCCGACAAGAACCGCGTGCCGTCGCTGTTGAACGTCGCGTCCGACACCGCCTTGGCGTGGCCCGAAAACGTCCGCAGCAGCGACCGCTCGTGATAGACGTCCCAAATCTTGACCGTGCTGTCCGCCGAGGCAGACAACAACAAGTGTCCTGACCCGGGGAAGAACCGCAGCGCCGTGACGGCTTTCGTGTGGTCCTTCCACGCGTGGATCTGCTTCTTGGGGATGTAATTCGTCACGCTGCCGGCCTCCTTGCGCAGGTCGACGTCGAGGTCCTGCGGGACGTGCATGTACGTCCGGCCCTGGTAATCCGTCTCCTCGGCGCCGTGGAACGTTGTCGTCTCCTCGCCCATGGCCTCCACCTCCTTCCTCCGCGCCAGCGCCGCCTCGGGCGCGCGCAGCACCGTCCCACTCTCCACCACGTCGTCGTCCTCGCCGTCGTCCGTCACCTCCTCGTACTCCTCGTCGCTGGCCAGCGCCTCGCCCTCGCCGACGACTTCGTACTCTTCGCGACGGTACCGCGCCCAGGGGCCCAGGTACGCACCGTCACCTTCAACGATCGTCGCGTCGCCTTTGCCCTCGCGACCGGACCGTATCCGCGCGTTCTCCTCTTTCACGGCCGCGCCCGTCTGGTACTCTCGTTCGGGCCCGCCTTTCCGCTCGACGGCGCGGTGTTTGCTGCGGAAGGTGTGTTCTGAAATGCACGTCTCCTCCGCCCGGCCGGTGAGAACGTTCTTGCGCTTCAGCGTCATGGCGGATTCGTCTTTAAAGGGGTTCGCGGGGCCGACGCGCGGTCGGGCCAGGTCTTCGCCGGTGTAGGGGACGACTGCGTGATCGGGCTCGGCTTCTTGCCGCACGACGAGCGCATCCTGGGGCGCCATGTTGGGCGGGTAGTCTCCGAAGCCCGACATCTTGGGTGCTGTCGTCTCGTCCGTCGCGAGAGATTTGAACAGTGAGTGGGTGGGTTTTGCTGGTGTCGCAGAATCGCAATGTTTGGTCGCAACTGGCCGCTGGTGTTCCTGGTCGTGGCAGCAAAAAGTTGGTGTCACGTGATCTGATGTCAGGATTTGAATTTGGGGAGCTACCCTTGGGATCTGCGGTTTCCGACCTCGAAGCTCAGGTTCCAGGCGCAAACAGGCGTACGGAAAGCTTGGGCAGCTTTTGGTACCACATACACACCAAACTCACACTCAAGGGTGTCTGAAAGTAAGGTAACAGCCGCGTTGAAAAAGTTTAGTTTGGGGCAGTAAGTCAACAAGCTTCAAAGAAAGAGACATTCAGAAGATCTGTCATTACTCAATTATCGCAACCCGCCGCTCCCAGGACCAGCCGGCCTGGTAGC